GTACAATTGAAGCCAACAGCCCTTTTATTGGTCTAGTTTATTTGGTACGCGTTTCATAAGTGATTGTTTTTCGCTCAGTTGATGTCTGTCACGGTGGGATAAGCGAAAACTCAGCATGAATGCATCAGTGACGGAATGATGAGCTGCGGACTTGCTAGCACAATCCAAGACGATCCTCTTTGAGTTTCCGATGTGGCCAATTCACATATCCATTCCAGGCAACATTTGCTTCTAAATGAAAAGTAGAGTCATACTCAATCATCATTGGGATCTTCGACAGCCAGTCTTTCTTTATATTTACACTATCTTTCCTAGACTAAGAGGTTTACTTGTATGACTTTGCGCTTGGGAATGGGCTCCGGTCGTGTGCAAGAATACATTTTTCTTAAGACCCCATAGAGCTACTGATGAAACTGGCCACGGAGAATTGAGGGCGATATCTATTCGCTGGCAGATCGTGTAATGCCTATTCGTCCAGACGGGTCTACTTATACCAACAGGGTGGCACTCTTGAGACGCAACACGAGGACAAGCCATCTCCGTGCAGATGCAAATGTGTCCCAGACTGCTGCACAACTTGAGCGTCGAGACTCGAATCGAGGCCCTAATTTGCCTTTCGGCATTGACGACTGAGCTCTGGGTCTCAACGAGAGGCTGTATTGCGCTATGCCTTTTGTTAAGCGCATCACAGCGGTTAGTCTGAACGACGAAACGACAAACCGATACAACTCTTAACAATTCGGGCATTAAATGTTGCGAAAAATGCAAATCCAACACAGCGCATAAGTTTATTCGCCTCCTACATCTCGCCGCAAGTCCATACTGAGCGCAGCTTGTGTGAATATGTATCATTGTTATGCTTGGCTCAATTCGAACCGAAAGTTGGTTGAAAGAGACCCGTGAATTGGCCGTACTGGAAACCGAAGAGGGAGATGGCCAAGCAGCTTCGATATCAGAGACGAACATTTACGAAAAACCGCATCAATACACAAAAGCAAAAAATGTAACCCCGATTGTACGCAAAGACTGACGAAATGTCACCATTTCTCTGTCAGGCAGCCACAAATTCGGGTGAATATAGGGCAAGTTTAGCCAAACCTCTCTCAAATCACACTTATTGTGGTATTGTTGATTAAGCCAACTTGAATTTTTCATTACAATGTACTTTTAATGTTTATCAAGGTATCTATATCCACAGTCGGAGGCTGATTCTAAATGGCAGGAATGTGATCCCCAATGCTAACGCTACTAGAACAAAAATTCTAGCCAACGTTTGGTCTTTTAATGTGATGTAGAGATTGATGGGGGTTGCTCGTCCAGGTTTTTACGTCATCGCGAGCGACATCGGCCGACTCTATTTCTTGCTCAAGCCCATCCATTCCGTAAATATCATTATAAGACTTCTATTTTCTGCAGGCCACTGATCCCATAGTAATGATATGCCTAATCTCCTTGTGGGACCAAGAGAAACCCATTTATTTCAATATCCTTAAGCAGCTGAAGAAGAAGAGATGAGGAAAGAAGCGACAAAGGAAGGAAGTGTATTTAGTGAAGCCGGCATAAACCCAGGAATACCCATTTACTTTTTTATGTAGCAAAGACAATACTATAAATGAATGAATAAATAAATGTATATATATATATATATATAATATAGCAATATTATAAAGTCATTTCACTTATCACTTTGATAAGGCTGGCGCCACTTGCTGAAGCTAACGACTAGGCTGCCAGCAAAATGTCTGAAAATGTGCCAAGTCACTAGTCCGATGCTGAGACTTATCTTGACAGAGGATGCATGATTAAGTATGCTCCACAGACTCTCCCTCTTGCTCGGATCAAGTTGTGAAAATGAGGTCAAACCTAAACTATACAAAGAGTTAATGGATTTTGATGAATCGCTCAAGTTAATATTGTTCACACTTGGATGACAAAGAGATTAGTTAGTTGATCTCATCGGAAGAAAATAGCCGAGTCCCGTTGCTCTGAGAAGGTTTGGCTTTAATACGAAGTTTATTTTAACACAGTCCATAAGACATCCTGCCTTGTTTTGGCTGAAACTGGGCTAATGTTTTGTCCCTCATATGAAGGATATGATCTAAGCTAAAACTCATTTTTGTAAATATTTCAAGCTAATACTAGGTCAAGAATACTGTCCAGCTATAGCTTACATCTTATATATGCTCATCTATAGAGAAAAATATATGGAAATAAACAAATAGATACGGAATAGTTGAGACATTCGAGTAAAAGTATCATAAACTCTATGAAAGAGAATTAGCCAAATCATCCAAAATTATTCTTTTTCAATATATTTTGGCTTTTAGTTATGAATATATTTAAAGCTCAAGATAAAGCCGAACGGTCTTCTTTACCTAGTGTCAACTTGAGATTTCTACAGTAATGAGCTCCAGCTGTGACGATCTCCGTCAAATGATTGACGAAAGCTTGTCACAGTTTCACTCAAAACGAGAAAGAGGGCCTCGAGGACTGTGTCAATATAAACATCGTATTAAATCCAAACGGCTGCAGAACTACGGGAATCGGTCGTCGTCTTCCGGTGGAATCAACCAACAATTTTTTTCATCAGACACTCTTGCATACAAAATGAAAGTCTTCCCAGCAAAACTAAACAGCTTAAAGAGACTGCAGTCCTTTTGAAGTGGCGAGCAGAAAAATAATTAAGTGATGCTAGAGTGCTTTTCATTTCGCTCAAAGATGCAAAGATAAGGAAGGTTCTCTTCGAGTTTTGGTAAATTAGCATAAATCATGGTGTCCTACTCAGGCGAATTCTATCGCTTTATGGATGAAAACTCGGCAAGGATTCGTCGGAGTCGCAGGTCGGTGCGCCAGGAACCGATTCGCACAAGTATACAATAACAGATCTAAGGCAATCCCCCTACAGCTTCCGTTGAGGCCAACTTACGCATCCTTTCCACTCGCCACTTTAAAGAACATGGAAGGTACTGTAACATGAAGTTGTCAAGGGATTCTTCAAAAATAAATTTTTCTACATAAATAACTTTGTGTACTGTAATGCGGATGACATTCCAGGAATTGTAGATTACGAGGGCCTGGATTTGGGCGGAAACGTTCAACGAAAATGAAAAAAGATAGTATTTGTGTTTGGGCTAACTCATCCCAGGCTGAAGGGACCCACACTGGAGAGCTACTTTAGCGGAGGATTTTAATTTACGAGGCCTTTGACACCACATTCAAAAGTGGTCGAGTTGCAAAAATTAGAAAAAAACAAGCCTTTAAAGTAGAGGAAGGATGTGATTAGCGTTTTTGACAACAATGACTTGTGATTTCACACCTTTTGCTTTAATTAACCTGGTTTATCAAGGCCTATTACTTGTGGATTACTTAACTATTTATTCGGTGTAATCAGTTCTTAAGACTATCAGTAGGCCTGGAATGGATTTGAGGCAGGGCTAAATATAGAATATATGAACACCAAGATATTGTGGCCTCTGTTATGGTCACAGTCTCCTTTCGATTTATAGAAGTGGGTTGACCTCGTTGTCTCAACTTGGTCTTGTTGTCAGGGCGACTTAGTAGAACGCACCTAGCCCGAAGCCGCCTGCCAGAGTAGTTGTCATGATTCCCAGCATCAGACAGTGGACTTGATACATTCTCAAACATTTCACCGGCATCGTAGCTGGCATTATCAGTTAGCTTTGCCATTCTCCGCACCAAGCTATGAACTCGTCTTGTCTCTTTGACGAGTTCGTAGCTTGGTGCGAAGAATGGCAAAGCTCACCGATAATGCCAACTACGATGCCGGCGAAACGTTTGAGAATATACCAAGTCCACTGTCTGATGCTGGGAATCATGACAACTACTCTGGCAGACGACTTCGGACTAGGTGCGTTCTACTAAGTCGCCCTGACAACAAGACCAAGTTGAGACAACGAGGTCAACCCACTTCTATAAATCGAAAGGAGACTGTGACCATAACAGAGGCCACAATATCTTGGTGTTCATATATTCTATATTTAGCCCTGCCTCAAATCCATTACATCTTAAAGCCTACAGAGTGGATTTAGTGGGAAACTTCAATTATCCGCCTCTAACTCACCATAGGATCTTGCTGACTAATTTCTTATTCAAGAACTACCAATATTTTTGGAAGCCTAAGTACACCGAAAAGCTTTGCGTTCTGCCAGTCTTTGATGAATGGATGACCGGACTCTTAAAAATAATTTTTGGTAAGACATAAATTACTCAAATAAGTCAAAGTGAGAAGGAAGACTGTGCAAACTGTAACCAGTCCTGAGGCCCTTGCCAAAGAAGCCAGGATAATTTCCATCCTCTGACTGTTTACGTAATACACTTGCAGACGTCAACGGATGTGGCGCCAGCCTTATACTCAGCTTCAATTCGTTAAAGTTACACATGAAGAGAATCTTGCCGACTAATTTTCTGTTCAACTGTTGCACCGTCTCTCCTCCACCCTGTCTTAATTCCTAGCGATATAAAGCTGGCTCACATGTTTAGGATGAGGTAGTGAGCGCTTTGATGTATTCTATTTTAAATCGGGCCTAAAAATGCTTCCTGCCCCCCACTCTTTCATCAGAGTCCGTGTAGAACAGCTCTGAAAAACATGCCTCATCAGCCGCATGCATCAGCTGTTCTCTTATATTCATTCGTCAAGGGAGGCCTCTTGCTAGCTCCTGAGCCCTCTAGCCATGTTGCCCAGGCAGGTCAGTTTATTTCTAAGTAAAATACGATGCTTTTACTGCATAGTATGATTTTCAAAATTAAGCCTTAACGACTCAGACCTGGTACCTTGACAAGATAAAACAGGCTTTTTCATCGTGTCTGGCCACACCTTAATCAGCTTTCGACTGAGAGAACAGGGTGGAAAGTATATGCCTACACAATTGCTTTAGTGTCTCATACACAGCCAGTATCCCTGTGTCGTGTCGGAAGTTCCGGCTCAGTATTCAGTTGGTTCGTGCGCGTATAAGCCTTAGAGACCATAAAGTTTATATTTCCTATTGCAACCGTATTCGAGAGGAAAAGTTTTTTTATATTTTCAAGTTTAGGCAACAAGACGAAGCAAACTATATTTCATACATACTTTTTAAAAAGGCTGAGCTACAATTTTAGGAAACTTCTTATTGCATTGAATTCATGCGCCATGTATTTTAATAATTCGTACGACATTTATTCGCAGTAAAAGGGGAGGAAAATTCTTTTGGAATTCGACTAGAATTTCCTTGAAATATGGATATGAAGCAGCCTCTACAACAATTAATTTACTCTGAATCACATTTTAACTAAATTCCTGAATTTCCTATGTAATTAAATTTACTTCCTTTTACTTCCTTTTAAAATGTGCCTCACTAGAATTTAGAATAAGGTGTACTTTGGTTTGCTAGCAATTGGTTTCGTAACTTCGTTGTCGCTATCAAAGTAATTCTACCATTGTAAGTGTTGGGGCATGATTTAGTCCAGGAAAGCCGTCATGTCTCATTTATTTTGTTACGCAAGCGTGGTCTCTCTACCTGAGACAGACTTATGCAAGCAACCATTGTGGTCAATTACCAAAGTCGATCAGTTTTACTCACATGGGTCCATTAGGATTGTTAGTCTATGAAGGAGGAGATAGTGTCTGATGCAATGAAGCCATAATTGTGTTAAACAAGGGCAGCTGGTCCTTCTGAATGGAGGGCTTTCGAAAAATAAGAACTTTTATAGCGATGCTAAATGTATTTCAAGAATTAATCTAGCTTAAATAA